GCTGCTAGGGGTTTATATATTGAGCAAGTTTATTTATGACCATCCTTTACATTTGCTATTTAGCATTAGTAATACAAATCGAGAATGTTTCGTAACTTACAGAATAATACAGGAGTTGACACACACACACATTTCATCTTCTAAATAGACGATTTAAAATTACAATGTAAATAAACTAATCACAACACTACAGATGCATTTTTTTCTTATGATATCCACCCTAAATGATGTAAGTAAGTAGATTCACTATTAATCTGAAACCAAGCATGTGATTTCAACTCCCCTGCAAAGATCATGTATGTGAGTATCTTTCACTTCCTTGAAGCTGCAATATCTGTCATTCCCTGTTGTGTACTCTAGGTAACATTTTTAAAGCAGTGAGATGATTAAATGATTGAGAAGATTTTGGCTATAATTTCCGGTGAAATGGGGAATAGTAAGTATCAGGTTAAACAGATTTAAAAAAAAAAAAAAAAAGTACTTTTCTCTTATTTCATTTAGAATTTTTCCCTTTTTTGAGAGAAGGAAAAAAAAGGAGTGCTACCTTTTTTTTCAATGGAATAATGCCGCACAAGTATGGCTTATGGTCAGTGGCAAAAATTTATTTTTTTAGAAGTATAAAGTTTATGCAGATTTAGAACTGCACAGGATTAGAACATCACTAACCTATGCATACTATAAAAATCAACTGTACTTAATCCCCCATCATTCTTTAAAAGAGTCCTACTGATTTTTCTTTTCTTAGGAAACAAATGAAAAACTTAAAATATGACATTTTAATTAATTTCATACATGTTTTGGAAAAAACTGATGTTAGAGGTTATTTTCCAGCTTTTATTTAGCACGAATGAAATGTGACTTCAAGATGTGAAGCTCATTAGCTAGTTACAAGTAAAAATGATTTCAAAATTTATAGTACAGTGAAAAGTCGTTAATTCGGACACCCATAATTCGGAATGATCTATAATCCGGACATCAAAACTAAAAACTTTCTGCGCATGCGCAACGTTGACACATGCGCAGAGGCGTTCACGCATGCGCGTAAGACCTTTTACGACTGCGCATATGAGTGTGCGCAAGTGCAGAATACGTTTTCGCGTGCGCATTTTATGTATAATGGACGTATAAGCTAAAATTATCTAATTATCTATTTCAGTTAATGTTGATGATTGCGTTGTTCCTTAATTTTCGAATTGCATCCGGCTTATTATTTTTTGCAGACTGTAAGAGCAATTTTATAAAAGTAAGCTTAAACTTTCGATTATATCAAATAGAATTTCCGATATATATTTGTTAATATGTAAAGGATCTAAAGCGAAAGTATGTTTTGAAATCCGAAATCTGTTTATCAATTTCACGCTGCTCGGCGGCGGGCGCCTAATGAATTGGAAGTTGATTTGTCAGCACTATCGTTATCTTCAGAGCAGATGTTTTTATTTTATTTGGCTTATAATTCCTTACCAAATGTAGTATTTCATCTCGATATGCTCCGTCTTTGATATGATTTAAAAACAAGTTCCTCGTCATTATAATTCGCTTCCGATAGCGAAGAAAAAGAAAAGTGACAGAGGTTATTGAAAACAAAAAAATTTCGATTGACAAATTAGTCGGTGTTCTTGACACAGCAATTATAGGACTTGAACGGCGGAACTTTGTAACTGAACAAGAAATTATGTCTGTTTAATAGAATTAAATAGAAAGTATTATCACATGAAACGAAGCAAAACTTAAACAACTTACATTGAAAGAAATGTTTAATAAAGTACACAAATAAATATTAAGCTTTTTCTTTTTGCAAATTCTGATACCCTTTAGATCATAATTGTTCTTTATTTCATAAATTATGGTTTCACATTTTTAATGTAGAATTTCTGCATGCCATCTTACGAGATTTAAACTGATGATCTATAATCCGGAAAAATCGATAATCCGGAATCGCCGAAGTCCCGACGAGTCCGGATTAACGACTTTTGACTGTATTCACCTCGGTTTTTACTTCATAAGCTGTTAGAGATGAAAGGTCTTTCCTCCAAAGTTTTCTATTCCCTTCATCCTTTCGGAACAGGTGTAACATATAAGCATTAGCAACTAACATTATCTCACAACCAGGTGTATCATATATGAATCGTCATTTAAATTGAATCTGAAGGCTTAGGTACCATATATGAATTTTTTAGACAGAATATTTAATTAGTACATTTTATTGGTACTATTTTATGCCACATCTGTTATGGTGGAATTTATTGATACTGGAGAATGCTAACCTTCATTCTCTTTCAATAATTTTTTTCACCATTTTGTTTCGAAATCAAAGCAGAAATCATGGGGATGATTAATATAAATACTCAGAGCTGCATCAGCTGATATAAATACGTGGGAGTATTCATAATTTCTCTTAGAATTTGGCTAGCATTGAGCCAAATACTTTGTGTTGCATTTAGTGAAACATTTTTTATGCTTTAAATGGCAAGGTAATGATAAGTTATAAAATTAATTCTGACAACTACCCATGTTCCTCTCATAATGTACCCAAAATTGGAATGATTGGATTACAAATTTAATTTATGTGATTTTTCCCCCCAAAGTTAGGCTTAGCAGGACAAACTGACTATCCCCACAAGACAGTTCATCCTGTCTGCCATCCTGAGAGCAGTTTGGTGATTCAGGTACCTATTACGAAAGGATTAAGAGGTGAACTAATTATTTCTTTGGTTATTTTGTAATAGAATCAGCACGCCTTATATCCAAGAACCATATGTTCTTCAAAGCATTCTGAATGTCCTTGACTACTAAGCAGTGCTGGGGAAAAGGCAGCCCGAGGGATAAATGCAGCCCGTTTAATTGCTTAATCCAGCACATGGGCACATGGTGAAATTCTATACAATGACATTTTCATCTCTTTCCTATCCAGTTTTGCTTGTAACCTACAGAAATCAACAGCAGAAATGAACATCTATTATTAAAGTACATACAGGCATATATATGCGTAACTACACTAGCAAGTTAAGCTGCGAAAACTAAATATACTAGAAAATACGCTCATCTGCTAAAAATATAGTTTTAGCATTTCTAACAGCTTTAATTTAGAAACTAAACAATGAAATATGATTACAATTGTTAAGACAAAAACTTCTCAAGTAAATCTCAAGTAAAAAAACATTTCACCCCAAAATTTTTATTTAAAAATGAAACAGTATACATGTCACTCATTTGATGATCAATAGGAAGAGATCGTTTGAAAACTTTAAATAAATTGAAAAAAAAATCGCCATTTAATTTTAATGTGCTGGATGTGTCAGTTCAGATTCAGTTCGAACTGAACAATTTGCAGTTGGATAATCTGTTAAAGGAAAAGTTTCATTGAAGCAAATTAACGGTCTTTTATGGTTTCCTGAATGCAAATCATTTCAAAAAATATTTTGGATTATATTAAGAAGTATTTAGTTTTGGATCGACATACTTATGAGAAATAACCTTTTTCATTAATGAAGTACATAAAAACCTAATTTGGGTGAAATAATAACATATACACATTTGAGATTTTACATCTCACATCAAGAATAAATTAAGTAAGGTACTTTCTGTTTTGCCGGCGCAAACAATAAAGTCGCCAATAATGGTACAACTGATGCCAAACGGAATATCTTCGCTGGTAACCTTTTACGCCTCATTTTCAAAACAAGTCGCAGCCATTTCATACCAGATTGATTGTTTCTTTCAATACTGGCATACAATTACACAGACTATTTACAAAGCTAATTAAATTTTATGCCCCAATACCATTTGCAATAAATTAAGTGAATTAGGATGCAATCACACTGCTCACCCAAAGGCGAAAATATAGAAAAGAAAAAATCAAGGGTTAAACTCATCAATTTTAATGAGAATGCACTAGCGAAGTAAAGCACTGCGGTTTTACATAATTTCCGAGTAAGATATTCGTGCGAATTGAAATAATTCTTGACTTGTATTCCAAATTAAGATTTAACTTGAAATTAATGTAGATAATTATTGAGAAAATTAGATTTTCGTAGCGTAGTTTACATGAGATGAGATCACTTGGGGTCATGTGATAAGAACTGGAGAATCAGGATTTTGAACCATGAAAGCATAGCAAATTCTTACATTAATGTCTTTTTACAAATTTATTGTCTTTTATTTATAGGCTTTTTACAAAATTTTTATGCCTTCAAAATAAAAAATTCTTAGAACTAACATTTGTTAAAATTTTTTATGTGTATACTGTATGTTGTCGCCAACAGTCTGCTTGGCGAGATTTGCGCCGGCAAAATGGAAAAGTACCTTAATTAATAATTGTTTTTACAACACAGTGTTTATAATAAAAATACAAGCAAAACTGTAAAATTTATAAAAATATTTAATTAATTATTGATGACTTTTTTCCTTTCATATGTTTTGAAATTTACATGTACATTTTATATTTCATTGGTTCACCTGTATATTGGGCTATTATGACCCTGTGTTTAACATCTGTGGCTTATTTAGAGTACAAAATATGAAAATATGTGCATAAAATGCTATTCTAAACCACAGATTTTTTAAAAATTTCAACCAAAGAGAGGTGTATCCCTCTACATCACTTCTAGCAAACACCAGTGGAACCATATAAGACTGTCACAAATCAACATCACACCTTGTGGCAGTCTTGTCCACATGATGGTTAAAAGTATTTGCCCACCCTTGCCATGCAGTGTAGTTGGACAATGTGTCTCTCATTTATTACTGTGAAGGCAGTGGACTTAAATTAATGTAACAATATTTAATTTTGAATATTAAATAACCAGTAACCTATAAGTAGCTTGTGTGCTGTGTTCTTTCCCTTAACAACTGCCATGTTAAACTTGGTACACATTATGAATCTCGGTGATTTTTAAGCTCATAAATGCATCACCTATTACTAGACTTTACATTTAAAAATTATTCAAGTAATCTTGAATGTATAAAAGCATATACAAATAAAGGAAAAGGAAATGTAATACTTTATCAATAGCTTTTCCAACTTTGGATACTGTTCCATGTAGATCTCTATGTTCAGTAGCCATAGCAGCAACCACGTCTTTCACTTTTTTTGCACATTGAGTGAGAATAAGAGCTTGAGCAGGTGTTATATCATTTGTTTGGGGTGCTGAAAACAAAGTAAGTTGATAATTGACTGTTTAAAATGCATCCAAGCAAATGAATATCAGATTAAGTTAATCCAGATAACATTTAAAACACAACTGGCGACAAATAAAACAAAGACTTGGCGATAAATGAAACAACAACATCCCGATAATACAAGGGGTACCCCTCTCTCTAACCTAAAAAAATAAATTAAAAGCAAATTTCTATTGCCAATGAACAAAAATCTCAATACACATCATGAATTAAATAGAAAACAAATTATATGTAAAACTTATCTACAGTGTCATTACACAAAAATAGGTGATTAACGTTTTAGTCTACAAATATAAGTTGAAAGAAAAACTACCCCAGCTAAAAAGAATTTCGGGACAGTTTATATTTTAAGGTACTTTTGGGATTGCCACATTATTGTTTCATTTATTTTAAACATGAGTATTTTACGCTGAATATTATGGAAACCCTATTATGACATGATTAGTTGTAATTTGTGTGTTTGCGGTGACTTTGACTGCTGGGAAAATATTTCTCGGAGCTCATTTATGTGTTGGATGTTGGTTAGTACATTGCTTATTTTGTGCTTTACACCATAAAATGCCTGTTAATGCTACGATTAACAAGAAGTTTCTGTGTGCTTTGGAATGAATGGGGAAAAAAATATTGATTGATTGGTGTGTAAATGAAGATTTAAATGGCTTCGTTCACCTCTCAGTAAATTACGCAATGAGATTTAAGCATTTGGAAACCGGACCTCATATCAACACTATGGAAGGTATGTGCGGTGTAATAAAAAAGGATTTTCGAAAGAAATGCCACCGGCAGGATATTTTTTTGATTTTTACTTTTGTGAATTTATGTGGCAACGACAGTATACAGATTCTAGTTCAGATAATTTTAAACTGTTTTTGGATGCTGTTAAGGAATTCCCTGTGCAACACACCAAAGACACAGAAATTTCTAAATAATAAGGTAAGTTGATATTTCACTTTTTGTACTGCACAGAGCTAATTTGATTTAGAGCGCAGTTTATAGAGATTATATATATGTAATATTAAAAGCACAAGGAAAAGCCGGAACACTGTGGATGCGTGATTAGATCCATAATTGAAGAAGAATTTTGATTGCGTAGTATTTAAAGAACTTGGCAGTCGAAGCAGTTTTAATTCCATTTTTATTTCCAATTAATATTTGTGGCCACAATCACTTGGCACTCCAGTCGTGCCTTTCCACAGAAGATTTACATTTTTGATATTGTTGAGATAGAAAGCAAGCCAGCGAAATTACATCTTAGTAGAGAGCAAAAGCTGAAGTGCGTAGTTATGCAAGATGGAGGCACACGAAGAGAAAAGTTTTGGTTTACAAGGACAGTTTCAGTTCCCAATGATTACATCATCAGAGCTGCGCCGATCATAGAGTGATCTAGAAATGACGCAATGCAAAGAAGTTATTACGATTTTAGAATAGAGAGGAAGAATTAATGTTTATAGTTTAATCTATAATTTTGATTCATATATTTTTATCTTACATATATATATGTATGTATAACAGATTCAAACTCAGAAACTTAGAAGCAGTTGTAATATATTCAGGAGCAGGAACAAACTTAGAAGTAATGACGAGTAGTATTTCGATAGCGTAGACGTGTTGATCAATAATGACTAGGAAAATGGAGGTGAATGCAGATTTAAATCATTTTTATTTTAGCAAATATGTTGCGGCGACAATCAAGTTGGCACATTAATTGTGCCTATTCTAAGAGATTTTACATTTTAGATAAACTTACAATAAGAATGAAAGAGCAAACAGACTGCAGTGCGACCAGGCCAAAGCACAGAAAGCAAGTGCGTAACGTTCAGGATGAAATCTCAAGTCAGACCGAGTTAGTTTTGGTTCTCAAAGCATTCTGATTGGATAGTTAATATTGATCTAAAATTACTGGTTGAGTTTTAGTTTCATTTGCATCATCATAATTACCTAAGAATCAGATGACATAGAATAGTCTCAAAATGACACAGTGCAGAGAGGGGTTACTATTTTTAGAATAGAGAAGAGAAATTTATTGCTAATTTAATCTTTAACATATTCTTTATTTATTTTTTGACACTATTTTACTTGGGAAGGTGTTGCATGTAACTAAGAATGCCACAAAAAATTTCCCAATTTTTGCCAAGGGCTAACCTGAAATATTATTCCTCCGAATTTTGATTAAACATGCGATTGCATAATCCAATGCCTCTAAGAAAAATATTTCAGGCTTACTTTCTTACGTGTCTTTCAATGTGGTGATTTACTAATGTGGGAGCATTTTTACCCAATCCTCAGTATTTTTCCAGGATGAAATATATAAAAAGCTTAAATACTGTAACATTAAAAAGAAATTCTATATGCCCAGAAACAAGTATTTATGCATAAATGTATGCAGTTCTAGATGATAAAGGTATTCTGAAATCATTCACGTAAAAATGACAGAACATTGATAGAAATTTTCTAATATGTAGAAAATTAAGAGAATTTCTGCACTTATACAGAGTAAAATCTCAACTATCCAACATTCACCTGGAATTCACTGGAAAGCTCAAGGTAACCATATTTTAGAAAAAAAAATTAAGTAAATGAGAGATTTGTAATGCCATTATAGAGCTCATAATACTATTAACTGTCGCCAAACAGTGTAATTTAGCACCAGTAATTGATAAGCATGATGTCACAACACAATCACAAGAAGTTCGCTTTGGTGAAGTGTAAATTAGATTAAGTCCTGATAAGCTGAATTAATTTTTGTAAAGAAGGATATAAGTTATATTTTTTCCTTGCACTTTGAAAAAATGATTAATATCTGGGACTATTGGAGTATTTTCAAATTTGCAGGATCCAATACAAGTCATAATATGTTAAATGAAAAAATAATGGTAAAAAATTATAAGCGATTTAAATTTCTTTATACACTACATCCGTAATTTGTATCTGTTTATTATCTAACTAAAAGAAAGATATGTTCATTTAAACTTCTGCCAGAATGAGTGACAACATCTCCGGCAACTTCATGTTCAGCAAGATTTCATAATCAGATCAGAAATACATTGACTTTTATAAGCCTGAAATGCACTTTTTTAAGAAATATGTTTTAAATGCAGGCTTTTGATATTCAAGCTCATAACAAATAAGACAATTGTTTCTACAATTTTAGATTGGAATTTTTTCTACTAATTTGGTTTTGCTAATGTGAATTTCATTTTTTATATACTCATTTATCAAACTCTAACTGTATATACATATTGTAATGAAGTTATTATTTGATATTCATGACATTCAAGTTACATTAAATATATTACAAGTCAGAAAATTGCCATACTATGAAGAAAAATTCCACTGTCATATAAATTTCTGTATTAGTAATCATACTTTATTTGCAAGCTAATCAGATGATTAGCATACAAGATATGAACATCTAAACAACACGCAGAGCTTTCAATTTTGGCAATATCGACTATAATATGCAAATTTGGCTATACTCTTATATGCAACCTAAGATCACAAAATGTGACGATATGTGTTCTACGCTGGTTCTTAGCACGATTCCGTGCGGTGGGTTGGTTGGTGGACGATGCTGTTTGTATGGCAACCTTTTTTACGTTGAAACTTGGAGACGTGGTGGCAAGATTTCAGTTGCGTATTTTAGATTGTGTGGAAAGTAAATTTAGTATTGAAAGGTACGATGTTGGAGTTGTTAACAAGTCTTTTGTTCACAGGTGTGTTTATGCAGATAGAAGTGCATTTTTGGAATTTCTATGGGAGTCGGGACTTTTAAAACAGAGTTTGGCGTGTCCGAAATGCGGAGCTGATATGAGAATGTGGACGAAGAATGGTGTTTCTGATAGACTTGTGTGGGTTTGCAGTCAAATGGTTGCTGCTAAAGTATGTGGCTGTCAGCAGAGTTTAAGGTTTGAATTGTGGTTTTCGTGTAGTAAGTTAACTTTGAAGGAAGTTTTCATCGTTACTTTCGAAATCTTGAATCACAGAAAGACATGTGATATAGCAAAATCGTGGCACTTTTGTTGACAGACGTTGTGTGACTGGCAAAATTTTATTCACATATGTATTATTGTAAGTGCATTTAATTTTACTATTTTTATTTTGTAGAATGTTATGTTCATTGTTTTTTTTACTATGAATTTCTGTTATTTGAACTGTTTGTAATTTATTTTAGTTATTTTAGTTTATTTTGTTGATTTGTGCGCAATGCCTTGATTGTGCAATTCATAGATGTTTTTTTTAACTTTAAACAGAATGCTATGTACATGGTATTCTTTGAAATTTATTGTTATTATGTTAATTTATTAAAGCGAGGTGTGCATAGTTTGTAGACTCTTTTGCTGCCTAGATTGTGCAATTCGTAGATGTTTTTTTTTAAGTTAAAACATATTGTTGTGTACATGGATTCTTGTCGAATATTTTTGGTTAGAAACTTTACGTTTTTGCTATCTATATTTTTTGTTTTTGTTTCGGACTTTTAGCTTAAATTGTGTGTTCAAAATGTGTTTTTTGCATGTGCGAAAACCACGTTTTTGGAGACATTTTAGGCTTAAATTTCAAAATGCAAACAAAAGATTTAGATAGTAATATGGCACCATGGAGTTTCTCGCCATAAATGTTTGGCGAGAAATTTGGCGATCTGAGGGCACATATAAGAGTTGTTCTGCAAATTCTTATGTTGTTTCTAAGTCTGGTGAATATGAAGACAATTAATGCCTTTAAGACATTCTTACACTTAGTCATATCAGTAAATAAACAAGGCTCAAGAGAGGCTCCATGTTAAGACTCTACTTTTAGTTGATCCTTCTACCATGGAGTGAATACAGATTAATGCTATAATTAATGATCTGATCTGAGGATAATGGATGCAGGAAAAATTGTGCAACATCGTAATGGTTCGGAACAAAAAAACATCAAACCTCACTAATTGCTTTGCATTAAATCAGGCCATATTTAACCCACAGTTCACAA